GGAAACGCGTTTGTCGCGTGCGATTCGCGTTTATTTCCGAATCGCGTAAATTTCCCGTGGATGAGAGAAGAAGGAAGGCGGGGTGGGCGGGGAGGGCTGAGAGGAAAGGAACAAGAGGTGAAGAAAAATAAGAAGAATGTAAGTGGAAGAAAAGGTGAAGAAGAAAGCGACACGGCGCGCCGCGGGAAGAAAACGTCGCCGGAGATATACGACGACGGCGACGTTGCCGCGGGTAAATTGTAATCGCGCCGCTTCTTCCGAGGGCACACGCATGACTGCAACCGTATCGTGCATCCGTGACAAAGTGCCCCTCCGATACTCGCGTGTGCACATATGTGCACGCTCGCGAAAGGATGTGCACTCGCGGGATAATTTTATTCGCCGCCGAGGAGCGCCTTTTAATAGCGACGCCATACAATATATTTGGGTCTTTATCCCGTCCTCCGGTATATATCGCTCGTATTTACGGATAATTCCATAAGCGCGAGCGCGCTTTTAATAGCGATTCATTCAATCTCGCGCGCGGTGGAGAGATTTCTCGTGGAAAGATATATTTTCCCTGGGATCCCTCGCTGTTTTTCCCGTCGGATCTCTCCGGGCAATTTCGCCGGGTCCGCTAATTAACTTTTAACAGGAACAAATAGATAACGCGCAGTCGGGTTATAAGCTAAGCGACCTCGTTTTTCCCCGGGAAACGCATGAAGAATTATTTTTCTATGTCCAAGAGAATTGAGGGAAGAATACATAAATAAATATTAACTCTTTCCTCATTTTATACACGAATAACACATACTGTAACTTTATCAATTTTTTAAAATAAATTTTTGAAGTCTACGATTCATATTTTAAACATAAATTAATAATGAAATTTAAAAATTCATTTTTTTGCCAATTTATTACGATAACCTTTTGAAAAAAGGAAATTACTATCCCCAATCTCTCTCTCTCTCTCTCTCTCTCTCTCTCTCTCTCTCTCTCTCTTCTCCTTTATAGAATATGCATAATTTATTGGACAAACCAGAGAGGGACAACGTTAAGTAGCTTTCGCGAGCGAAGTAACGATCACAGAGAATGCTACTGTCCGCAAACAGTCGTTAATTACTGTTGTTCGAATGCCAGACAATGCGAGGGAGTACGATTGTACTTTCGCCCATTGCCCACGAAATGTACATTGATCATCCGCGGAACGGGTGAGGTGAGGCGATTAATCAGAGCGCGATAGACGTCGCGAGGATACCTCCTCGGTAAAGTCGATGCCGCAGCCATCGCCGCTAACGAAACACGTGTCAACGCGCGTTAAGTCGCAAACCCCAGAGAACCAGTGCGACACGCTCGTTAATCACCAGCACGTCGAGCGTGATGGATTAAAATCAACGGCGCATCCCTGCGTGCCACTTTCTTTCTTTGCTAATCATTTCTCCCCTTTCGATCTGAACTTTTCCCAAAGGTTCTTCAAGTTTTTGCGGACATGAGTTACGCCAACATTACAGAGCTGATAGATAAAGCTGGAATTTTTTTGTGTTTACCCTTTGGAAAAATATTTAAAAAGATTTTCATAGTAAGTAGCTGTTTTACTGTTTTGAGAAAGAGTGTTGTTAATTGCAAAATTTAATGAAAAAAATCGAGTTCAATCTAAAAATATGTAAAGATAAAATTTTATGTCAAACGTCAAAGATATATTTAAGTACAATATATAACCTTTACATAATTTTCATACAGCTATTTAATATTTCATTTTAGACGTGTAATATTGCTCCTATCAAGTTTGTTAATTACAATTTTAAAGGAAAAGAGTTATTTCACAAGCAGTTTCAATAATAATGCTCTTATTCAGCAACTTTCTAAGAAATTTCACTCTCTCTTTATAAATTATCAATCGACCCTAATATTTTCTTCTCTGTGATCACAGAGATGCCGCCTACGTTTACCATTTAGTCCGCATTAAGGTATCGAAGGGCGCGGTAAAAATAACTGTGGCATTATCGTCAATGACATATTGACGAGGAAAAGTACACGGCGTGGGTGCCCGGTGGTCTATAATTATTATTAGTTCAACGAGATTATTATTAGAATTACATTGTTTTTACGCTTACAATAACGTGATGAGTGAGAGTAGCGGCGAGTCAGTGAATCAATTATTGAGGTATGGATAATATTTGTGTTGGTCGAAGTAACACTTAATCCGTGTTATTTCAGCTCTCGTAATCTCAGATATTTCATAAACGACGTAGATAAATCACGCATTATCGAAGCTGTTTTCTTTAAAGTGCTTTTAAATCTTTTTAAAGAAAATGGCAAATTAGCAATATAATAAACGCGATCGTATCCCCATTGTCGAAAACTATTGCGAGTGTAATGCTGCAAAATGTAACTACAAGGCGATATCTCAGGAATCCACTTATACTTCGTCTTCGAAATACTGCAAGAATGGCATTCGGAATTTGGGAAGAATATCTTGGCGGAATGGGAACTTTATGCCGCGCGCTCATATTTCTGGCTCCGGGATAACTCTTAGACTTGCTCGTGCCCGAGCATCCGCGTAATGTCTAAGATTGATGCGTAAGATATACCGGGGAGGAGAAAGCATATTTCGAGGGAACGAACGAGCGGGAAAATAGGAAATCCGTCCGAGAAGCCCTGCACGCGGCGCAAAGAGCCCGGCGCCGCGCGGCGCGCTTCCGTTATCAGACAATTGAAATTTCCGACGAGAGATAAGCATCGCGATGACTCGTTTCCCGTAATCGACCGACGATCGACAGACAGCTGCATCGAAATTCCGTCCTTCAGACTATATCTTGGCATTATTTCCTCCCCGGCAGGAAATAAGAAACCCGATTTTATCCACGCTGTTCAATGGGAGGGGAACTCTTTGCATCGAAGAATTTGCGGCAAAAATGACAGGAAGACGCGGAGGTTGTTGAGGAGGTAAGATGACACGAGAGCGCGCGAGCCGACTTCGGGTCGAGTAATAAATGACCGCGATGAATAATAACTCGGTTATTGAAAGAAAATTCCGGCCGATACGAGCCGGAGTTTCCCAACTCGCGGCATTAGCCTAGTTCTCGGATAAGGCCCTTCCTCCGTTTCTTCTATCCGCAGAGAGGAGGCTCACCTCCGCTGCTTTTCCCCATCCGACCACTTGCTATGCTTTCTTTATTCCGCGGAGCCACGTCCGCGTAACGGCTATTCAGATATCGAATCGATTTATTTCCCAGGGGGCTTTCGGAAACTTCGGCCATCTCTGCGGTGAACTTGGAATAGCTATCTCCCACCCCGTTCTCTCTTTTTCCCATTCCTCGCTTTCGCGGTGCACTTTGGGATTCCCGAGACCCTGGACTTACCATAGAGCGTGAAATGTTCATTGGGTCACATTCGTTTCGCGAAACTTTTATCGCCACGTTTTGTCTAAATCTTCTAAATCGACCATTAAGGGAAACACTCGAGATAAATTGCAATTTACGTCCTCAGCCCGACAGAATTGAAAATTTATATATTTGAGTATCTGATGATTTTTTTTTCATAAATTAAAAACGCGTATATTTCTTGTATTTAAAATTATTTCATAAATGATTATAATTTGATATATTTCATAAATAAATAATAATTGTAATTTTTATTGTTATTAAACTTTTGTAAAAACAATATTAATAATAACAATATTATGTATTCTATAGTTAACAATTAACATTATGTTAATTTGTGGGGAAAATTCATTTTGGAAACAATCGAATGCTTTAAAAGCGTCTCCTTAGTCAGGAAATTCGATGTAATCGGGCGATAGTAGACGGTTTAATTATACGGATAAATGGATAGATGGATGGAGAGTTAGTTTCATTAGATAGATAAATGGATATGTGGGTAGATTTATACCTAGTTAGGTCAATTATCGAAGAGATTCCGATATAATGCTATCAGGACGATTGCTTCTTTACAAATGTGATTAAAATCACGTCCAATTAAGAAAAGCGAACGGAAAAGTCGATAATAGAAAGACCGTTAATAGAAAGACCAAGCGATTGAATGAACGGTATCATTTTCATGAAAGTTGTATTTTCTTCTTACATATGTTAATGCGATGTAAAGAATGGTCCAAGTAAAAAATAATATAGCAAAAAATTTAATTGTGTATTTTTTGCAGACTAATAGTTTTCGTTGTAAAGTAATTTTATGTAAAAAGCTTAAAAAGTTCACTGTTAGAATATTTTTGAGATATCGCAATGTAAAAAATGATTAGTACTTTTCATTCTATTGAATAAGATATTTAAAACAAGAGTTACTGATTTTTTTTAAGCTGTATCAATTGCATTCTCTCGAAGTTACTGTTTGTTAAAGAAAAACGAAACTTGATAACTATACTTATCTACATTTTCTCATATACATATATAGAATACATAATACGAATAGGTTACTAGGACGTGCACATTAAGTCTTCGCCAGAAACTACTCGGGAGAATAGTTTAAGTGCCTTTCTAGAGAAAGCTCATCAAGACGCTCGTCAAATAATTAATGCTCTCCTCGAAGAGAGACGGAGCACTTTAAGATTCACTTCGATGCGTCTTCAAAGAACCCTCGCGACTACTCGCCAATATTCGCAAAAGAATTTTCGCGATGTTAATTATCGAATCTTAATTCTCGAGACGCAATAAACGTATTAAGCTATACCTGTGTGGTGTGTTTTGTCACAAACTAATTATCGTTAAAGAAATATATGTATATTACCAAAATTATATATACATATTATTGGAAAAACTTTAAAATAACTTTAATTAAAGTTACTCAATTAAATTAAAGTAATTTAATTAAAGTTAAATAAGAAATTAAATGAAAGGATTAAAAAAATATCTTTTAATAACACATTTTCGTATATTTTCGAGATTTACGATTTTTTTTTTCAAACAAATTCAACATCAAGTCTTTTAAGGGATGTAATCGAGATACGCAGCTAAGCAGATCGAATTTTCTCTACCGCGAGATAAAACGGCGATGGCAAATTGTCTAACCTTATTCGGATATCCGTTGTATCTGAGCAGCTTCTTACAACACTTGCCGCGGTTCTCGTAGTAGAACATCTGCACCATATCCGCGCGATCGGTCGCGCCGCTGACGGTGAACGGCGCCCTGGACGACGACGTCGATTGTTGCTGCTGTTGCTGTTGCTGCTGGGCCGGTGATTGCCGACGCCCTAGTGGCACGCACGGGCACCACCCCGAGACCATCACACCGATCGGGCCCGTCGCCGGCCCGATTCGCCCGATCCAACGCTTCGAATCCCTCTGCGCTTCCTCGTTTTTCTTCGAAGATCACTTCGCCCCGTTGAAGACAAGTCTCTTCATTGTGTCCTTCCGCCGCCAACTTTCTTCGCTTTCCTCGCAAATCTAACAATTCTCAGTGGCGAAGCTGCGACGACGTGACTTCGTTAGCGCATGCTGAAGCTTTTACAAGAGGGGCAAATCTGAAGCGATGACTCCGATAGTTGTCACGTGGCGCGAATTTTGGCAACGAATCTTGTACTATTTGTCGGTGCGTTTTGGCAGCGAACACCCTAGAGATCTGGAAAAAAAACGAAGGTGATTAGAGATAACTGTGATATACGTATGTATATGAATGGATTTATTCTTCTTAACTATATGTTTTCTTATTCTCCATAGTCTCCAAAGCGCCAACATATATTTTTATCTTATTTTGAAGCACAAAAAGTGTAACGAACTGCAGGTAAACAGAAGAGAAGTATTAATCGTCAGCCATGAATCTTGAGGATTAAACGGACTTTGTGTTTGCGCTATATGCGCCGTTTTCCATAAGAAAGAAACTAACATTTATGCTTCTTCGAAATTGGAAGTAACTGCAGCCTTTCACTACGAACGAACGAATGAACGCGTTCGTGAAATACAGCGTCGCTTAATTCTGAGATGGGTCAATTAAATCCGAACTCTCTCGCGGATTATCGGGGAACGAAATTGTGAAACGTGGCGGACGTCAAGGAGGGAAAGAGCGAATCCCGTCAGAATATCTGCGTGAAGCTGCCGTTGCGGCTCCGCCGCGAATGTCGGTTCGTGCTTTTCAGCCCTTCGAAGAAATCTGTCCGATTAAATCCGAGTGTATGTCGCCTCGAATTACGGCCGGATCCATTACCGCGCCAAAAAAGCGTGCTCTCCGTAAATCAACGGCCGTTAGATTTGCCGTTCGATCTCGTGACTTAAACTAACGACTGCTACAAAAAGCGCGGCAGTTTGATAAATTGGCGGATAGATGGATAGGCGCCGTAGATGGATGAATTTCCTCCCGCCATAGATTCCCTAAGGACGACCTGAGATAAATAGATATAATTTATTTAGATGTTGAGGCGGGCCCCGGTAAGATACGAGGAAAGGAAACTGGGACGAGATACTTAAGATTGGTGATAGGATGGATAACAGCCACATTAATTAAATGAATTTTATAGTTGCAATAGTTGCAAACAATTGTATTTTGAATTGCAACTAATTTCTTTCTTTTACAGAAGTAATTCTGAAAAATAATTACAATAAAAATAGTGATAATAACGTCATTAATTTTAATTAAATATAATGCACCTAAAAATTCTTTTTGTTAGTTATATACTTAAAGATTAATCCATAAATTATAAGGGAATAATTACTATTGGTAGGAAAGTCTTCTAATTAAAGCAATTTTTTTAATACAGTGTGTTGCATATGTTGCATATGTAATAATGCAAATTATTCGATTACGTCGCAGAGCCATATATCCGAGAATTTGTCAGTGGAGAGACGCGTACGTTTTATTTCCTGACAAAACACAAAACGAACGCAACGCAAACTAAAGTAGGCGATAGAGCTAGATGTAGGGGGAGGGGTTGGTGAAGCCGTAAAGATGAGAAAAACAACATAGGAATTTGCAATTCATGAGAAACGTCGTCGTCTGCGTCGTCGTCGGCGTCGTCGTCGTCGTCGGCCGTGCGTTAGTCACAGAATGCGCGACCTAATTTAAGAATGGAAAATTTGCGCCGTGTCTCTCTCCCTTACGCTTGGGTAATAAACGCGTCGCATACTGTGCAAACATCGACTTACAGAAAATAGTGAGAAGAATTTCCACCTTCCATTTCCTCCAACAAAAGATCGACAATAGTTCCATCAAAGAATTCGCCTTTTTCATTTTACATGAAATCTTGATCGAAAAAATGTGAAAACTGTTTTCTTAACTTTATTTAATAATAAGAACAAATATTTAATATGTAGATGAATGAAATGAGATAGATAAACGTGGAGTTGGTATTTAAGCTTGGGAAATATAAAATGTCTTAGGATTCAAAGATAAGAATGAGTGAAATATAAAAAAAAAATTCATTAGGAGAGAATGTGCTCGGCGAAGGAAGATCTAGCGAGGAAAAATACGGCGAATGTCCCTGAATTACCCCGCGAAGTATTATGCAGTCGCATTAGTCCGAAAGATTAATTGGTCCACGATTTATACGTACTTCCGGCGAAGGGGGTGCGAAGACGCCCCTTTCGCGTTCTCCAAGACAAAGCCGAACGCACTTCGCGCAGACTCACTCGGGCTTTACCGCAGTTTCCTCGAATTTTGAATCTAATTCCTCGTCCGACCTCGTAATACGGGTCACCGAGAGGTGCCGAGAGGACGCGCGATAAGTTTGCTTTACGGTTGCACCAGATGACGTTGACTCGAGTCCCCTCCGTTTAATAAAGCGCGGGCCGAGTGAGTAGCCCCGAGATCTGCCTCTCGCAGGGCGCGAAGACTTTCGGGTCACCCGGTACGGCGTCGTAAAGAGGTGTAATCGGTCAAACGTGCGGGATTAAGCGGAACGAAGCGGGCTTAAACGTGAAAATTAACATTTTCCGGTTACGTCAATATCAATTGACATTAATTACAATTAGTTTCGTTCACTCCTCGTTTCATTTTCCTATCATCTATTGTATTATCTGAGAAAAAAAGATAATTTCAAAATTAGAAATAGCCTGTCGTACACTGCGATATCTTCGACAGACTCGTTACATGCAGTATCAACGAGACGACCAAAGGATTGGTGAGTTTTTCGAATCCAGGAGAGAGAGAGAGAGAGAGAGAGAGAGGCGTTGAATCGTTAACCAGTATCGGTCGGGGATATGGGAAACTCCAGGTGATAAACATTTTACGGTTCCCGGTGGATGAAGCGGAAGCGAGCTTCTGTATTCATGGAAATCTGCGGATCTCGCGCGTCATAAGGTTTAAATAAATCCATTAAATAAACGTTTATCGTTAAAAAAACGCACAATATATGCACTCCCGCGGGAAAACTTTTCGTAAAATCAAGCGAGTTACATCAAGGGAGTTCATGAAGAATGAAATTCGACGGATGTATACGAGTGCGTTTCTTTGTAACTTTTGACTTCGCGTCTCCCTCTCTCCTCTCTCTTTTTCTCTCTCTCCGGGCCCATTCGTCCGTTGATGTAACAATTTTTCACCGTGACATTCCCGGCTTAGAGCTATCCCTCGAGAGTTTAACCTGCTCTCGTTTCGTTCCTGCCCGAGTGGTCATAGATTACTCACTAAAGCATAGTGTAATCCCGAGTTCTCGTTATTCTGACGTAATGCGCTATGCAAAATACGGCGAATCGTGTATAGCGGGACATGAGCGATGGGTTACTTTGAGATCTTAATATATCTTTGCAACAGTCACGTATTTCTGATTGCAAGGTAACGATGATACCACTGAGAATTAATCGCTACTACGTCACTATGACTATTTTTACGAGTTGTGCGAAAAAAAGAAGACTCAAGTGAGACAACATTTATTACGCCAAACTTGATAATTACGTACCTATACTCATTTCTCTTTTAGCGTTTCTCAAGTTTTTCGTTTTTCGAAATGTCTATTCTAGTCTACAGATACAATCTAGCCTAATGCGAGTTTTCTCTTTCGACGGTACTTACTTTCATATTTATTCGAGCATTTAAGGAGTTAATATCGGTCGCGCTACCACGGACGGAGCGCACTGTTCTATCGTGAACTAGTTCGATTGAATAAGTTCAGAGCAATTCCTTGTCGCTGTCGTTGCCGTCACTGTGAATTTTCCCTGCGATCCGCAACTTTTCGGGGCCGGCCGACTAGTTCGGGCGCGGATTTCTGCACGAACGAGCTAAATCGACTCGACCGATCTCGCCGGAATTGCTTCGTTCGGAGTCTCGCGGAACCGCTAGTAAAATCAACGACGACAGCATCGATTTTTCGATGGCAGGTCGGAGAGAGTTTAATTAAATCACGGCGTGGAACTTGCGGACGCGAGAGGTGAACGTCGAAGGAACGTAAAATCCGTAAAAACGTAGATTAGGTTCAGTATCGACACGCGACGCATTTCGTAGAAATCGATCACTGACGCGATTCTCGCAGAAAAAGTCCGTAGGATTCATTATTATCGAATAACAAACGTTCTGCCATTCAGTATTCAATTTGATAGTGGTATATTAAAGTGTTAAGTAATGAAAGACACAAACGTTTAAAGTACATAAAATAACTAGTAAAAATATAATACACATGAAATAGTAAAAATACATTTCCAATAAGATGAAAACGTAACAAATTAAAATGAGCAAAAAAATATTTATAGAGAAATGTTAAGTTAAAAAAAATGTGTCCTTGTAAATGTGCTGGAATTGGTATATTACAGTAGAGGTTCAATTCAATCTTGAAAAGTGAAAAATGCAATAATGGAATTGGAATACTGAAATCGCGGACGTAAACATTGAAAATGACAAAGTATCGCGATTTTTAATCGCTTGACAGCTCAATAAATTGCAACTAACGAGAGCAAATTCTGGGTTCTCCATATTTAATTCCGGAATTATAGTGGCGGTGACACGTCGCGCGAGAAATAAAAGCGCGAAAAAACGGAGCGAGTTATGACATTCGCGCGTCGCATGAGCTCTCGCGGAAAAGTTCGCCGGAATATTTCGCAAGTGTTGGCTCGTTGTTACAAGCGTGCTTTTTCCGCGCACGTTTATACGGTATAGAAAGTGCGCTCGTTAAATCCCGCTGGTCGTTGCCTCGGACGGGGACGCGCGCGCGCGCGCGTTCTCTTTTGTAAGTTCGACGAGTAGTTTTATAACAAGTGCCGTGTCGTCGTGAGTGCAGTCACGTGCGCGCAAGCTCGTTTCCGGACTTTATGAAACTCCCGCGATAATTATCGCGGCAAATAAACAGTCGCGATAGTCGGCATGTCTGACGTACGGAGGTTAGTGTAAACTCGCGGGGGGACGATCGCACATCACGCACATATGCGATGCGTAACACTCGCGTCCCAGGGCGACGAGCGAGCGCGAGCACGTGCGCGTGGAAAGCGCTCCGAGAATTTCAACGATCAGCCCTGCGCAGGCCTTCTCGGAACGGAAAAGAAAACGAAAGAGCCGGAGAAGTGTAAATAAGTACTTCCGAAATAGGAATTTCAAAAGTGGATCAACGGCAATTCTGACTTGTGTTCAGCTTCAGTGACGTTTCAGAATTAACGGCATGCTAATCTCTTGGCACACGGTAGTCGATCAACGATGTTAAGTCATCGGTTCGTGCTAATTGAGGGCTGGAACAACCGTCGATCAATTCGCCGGGAAGTTGGACCGCGAAAAAAATTTCGCTCGTCGATATACGCATTTCCGCATGGATAAGGCCGCGAATAATAAAGGCGCTTAACGGAGCCGAACGTATCATATGCACCTGCAACATCCCCGGCCGACAGTTTGATGTATGGGACCGCGGCGATGCGCGCGCGAGCGACACGAGCAAAAAGTCTTTCCGCGCCGTAATCCCTCTTCGTTCCCCGGGAAATCTCATTACGGAAAAGTTTGAGGCAAGGCTCTCCGCGTCGCGTCGCGTCGCGTCGCCTCGTGTCGCGTTGCATCGCGTAGCACGGGTGGATGGAGAATCACCCTCCGTACGTACGGGAGGAGGGGAGGGTGAGGTTGTCTACCGGAGAGTGCATGGGAATAGCGTGCGCGGAAGGAGCGACTGAGAGAGAATATTCTTGTAACCATTGTCGGGCAGATAACTTCCGCGATATCTCTTCAACGGGATGCCGTGGTGAATTTAAACTTGTTGCGGCCCTTAGAACGCACAACGAGGGCTCTCTTCTTATTAAATTTAAAATTCTTGTGTTATAATTTATTCATAAGTATTTTTTTTTTTTCAAGTTAATAAGCGTCTTGTCTTGTAATGTGAGACTTCGTATAATCTTCTACCTATGTCGAAGGTAACTTTTCGCAGTATTTTCGTAACATGATGCATTTAAACTAATTCTTACAGTCCTAAACAATGATATGGCTGAAGTTCTTTTCTCTTTCTCGGAAAAGTTAACATAAATTGAAATTATTTAAATTATGTAGAACTTCATGTGTTTATTTACGAATGACTCATTTATTCAACTCATCATAAAATGAGTAATTACATCATCCCGTTATAAAGTGAATAAAAATAAGAATAAATCAAAACTGTAAGAAAATTAATCTTATCAATTTAATTATTTATAGAAAAGAATGAAACATCTTATAACTATTACTGCAGATATAATTTTCACAGTATCTAAAAAATTATTGAAGATTATTTGCGTTGTACATGAATGATCAAATCAGTAGGATTGTAATCTCCACTGTGAAACAAAATTCTAAAAAAAAAAAAATTTCTTATTAAAATAATTTTTATTTCCAAGAGAATATTCAAAATTATTAATGTTGCATCCAGTTCAGACAATTTAAAGATGTTCTATATGTTTAATTTTATGCATAATATCGTACAATACCGCGCAACAATATCTTTAACCTGAATAATAAAATGAAGCAATGAACCCTGGAAACGTACCTTCGTTGAGCAGATCCTCCGATCGAATCCAAAATCTCGCGAGTGTCTTCCGTTACTCCGACTTGTATCGAAGCTGCTCCGACTTCGAAGGCAGAAAAGCCGACTGGCACGCACACACCGTACGTGTAACTAGGGCCGCCGGATATTACATTCCGAATTTCCGGCGGTCTTAATCTTCCTTCCATGCGCCCGAAACATCCTCTCCTCCATCCTCTCCTCTATCTCAGAAAGGATCGCGAAGCATCTATCGCAGGAATATATAGGAACGAGAAGAACTATCAGTAACTGGCGCGAGTAGCACGACGAGAGACAAAGGGAGAGAGAGAGAGAAAGAGCGACAAAAAAAAAGAGTGAAGAGAGAGAGAGAGACTCTATTATCCGATCCGGTAGGATTGGCCGTTCCTTCAGGACGAGCTTGAGCGTGACAGGGGAAAGGAGGGAAGCCGCGCACACTACACCGGATGGACGTGGGTCGCGTGTTTCAGTCGACGTGCGGACGCGGACTAAAGCTCTCGACGGACGGACGGGCGCTCGTCGTCGCGTCGCGTCGGCTCGCGCGACGGCGAGAAGCGGCGGCGCTTCCTCTTCCCTCGTGGTCGTCGCCCGTACGGCGCAGGGCTGACTGAGGGAGGCCGTGGCGCCGAGCGTCGCGACGCGACGCATCGCGTCGCGCCGCGCGCCGCCGGCGAGCCGACCCTCTCGGGCCTGCGTTCGTTCGCGCGTGTGCCCGAACCGCGCCGTTCTCACACCCTCTCTCGCCGAGGAATTTTCCGTCCGTTAAAGATAATCATTTCGTTGACGAAGAATCGACTCACGATTGTCCAAAACCGCTGTTCTGGAATATTGTGTCTCAAAATCACGCCAATATTATAATCAAACGAAACACATCCACGAATGTTTTATAGTATATTCGTGAGAAATGATTTCTCAAATTAATTTTATGAAAATTGTATCTATAATTATAAAAAACATAATAATCATAATGATTTTGATTGGATATTTATTGGCTGGTGTAAACTCGCAGTGTTTTAACATTAACTTCAAAACTTATGGGAAAATGTAGACAATAAATCATGTAATAAAAATATATCACAAATAGGTATACAGATTGTATTATTTTTATTCAATTATGTAATTATACATTTTATTTGTTATAGGACGTTTTAGAGATATTTTATGTTTTAGAGGACGTAATATTTTCTCTTTCTCTCTCCATTTTTAATTAAACTTTTAATTAATTTTATTGTATTATTATATCAGTTTTTAATTAACTGTTGTATAGTTACAAATTATAAAGAGATTGCTGGTTCAGTTTGTAATTATTCGCGCCGTTGATTTTATCAATTTAGTTGTGTTTTATTATTAATTTTATAATTCGTTTTCAATGATTGAAAAAGATTCTCTCAATAATTCATATAAAAACAAATACGAACTATTCTAATAATGCAAACGCGAATATTTCGAACATTCTGCAACTTTCCAATGTATATAAATCTTAGTGTTAGAGAAGTGTGGATATATATTTTATATTATTTAATAAAAAAAAACTCTGGAAAATGAGAATCTTTCTGCGGATCTTTTTCTCTTGGTAATTTGCAAACAGACAAATATCTTTTTGAAATTTCTGTAATTTCGAAATCTATACGCTCTTAATCGTGTACAGAAATTAATTAGCGAATCAAGAGAGTTACTACGAGGTAATGCGAAAAGGACGAATGCGCGAGCGTCTAATTTAAAATCCCATTTACTCGCCGTTATTATAACGTCGCATAACCACCAGCCGCCGTCGCGTAACTACCGTATCATACTTCACGGTAAGAATGACAATTCACGAGATCCTGCAGGATCACGATGCCGCAATTGCCAAGATACCAGCCACAATTCGCGTGGCTCGAAAGGTATATTAATAAGCGGTGGCCAGGGCAGGAAGCAACGTCTCCTTTTCCACTTTCCTCTCCACTCTTTGTGCTTCTATCTCGCCAACGCTTTTTCTCCACCCCGTTCCACCCTCTTCTGGTGTACAGCGTGCGTCTCCGTGTATACCGTGTATACGCGCGCGTGTATACGTGCCTTGGCGGTACGTCTCCGGGACCCGGAATATACATCACCATTCCTCTCGCTTCCTCAATTCTCCCCGACTTCTCTCTTATTTTCTGGAAAGGAAAACGAGCACGAGAGTTGGGCACTCCGTGTCTGCGAGCATCGGTCTCCGCGAGTCTCGCTTCTTTGATATCTATCTATCGTTTGTTCGTCTCCTTCACCTTTTTTGTTCCACCATCTCTCTCGCTTCCTCTTTCCCTCCGTAAGCCGTCCATCGCCATCGCGCCATCGTTTATATCTTATATTTTGCTCTTGCACGCTACGACGTTAAAACGGACGCTTCTAACTTCGAGTCGCCGAAGACGTCGGAAAACACGTCCGGCCATTTTTACGTCCATCACGATCGCGTAACCCATTTGAAATATCCAAACGTGTCTGGAAACGACGTCGCTCTATATTTTTCCTATATAAAGCGCAAAAATTTCCTTACAAAGAGCAGAAGTAAAAAATAGGAGAAATTTTGACGTGGCGGGAAATGATGAGACTTTCTTGTTTCCGATCATAAATCGTATCGAATGGGAACTAGGTTTCGAACGAGAAATATATATAGTGTGCAGTAAGACGAAAACTCTTCCCTATTGCTTCTTTTCCATCGTATTCCTTTTAATATAGCGACGATTCTTGTATCACCGACGGCGTATACGTGAGTATTACCGTTTAATCGCAGGAAATCTTGACTGACGACATTTATTGCCTGCGACATGGACACGTCTCGACCGCTGGCGGTTCGTTTCGACCGCTGGGCACGTGTATCTCTTATGCACGGAAACGCGATACGTGAGCCGCGTGGAGATGCCGAGGAGGAGCCCTCCGAGTAACCGGAAAAATGAATATTTCAGGAGACGAGTCGTGTGGCGCGAGTATCTCATTTTTTCGCGCGCGGCCGCGAGACGCGAACTGGGACGATCGAGCCATTTGTTTTAAGAATTGATCGTCCTCCGCCGGTCATCGACGTCCTCGGAGGAGGACTCCGCGACGAGTGTGATGCATCACGTGACGGAATACGTGTGAAACTTTCGTCTCGCGAGAGATCGGTTGTTTAATATACCGAACGTGGAGAATTGTTCGTCTCTCTTTGTTTTCCCCCCTCCCTCCTCCCCCCGCCGAAATTAAATTGTCGCACTCTCGAGTCACGGAGCAAAGTCGCGCGTGCGATTCCAACGGACATGAGATCCGCGCGCGTGCCTTCGTCGTCGTCGGGCCACGAGCCCGTGAATTGGATTAGGGCGAACTCGAGAAAGATCTGAGGGAACGATAATGTCGAAGGGGGGAGAGGGCTGACGGAGAAGCGGAAGCTAGACCGGATATAGAGCTCCGTGGCGTCGTCGTCCACGCGCGCGCACGCACGTCGACTCGCACGTACACGTCACACAGTGTCACGCACCGTGCAGCTTTGTCCTCTTCATCTTCTTTGTCTGCTTTTATTCTCCTTCCCCACCGTGATAGGAAGTGGATTAGAGTGTCCGGAGCAAATACTCGAATTGTATTTCCAGCAATACCGCGAGATCGCCTATCGTCGCTGCCCAAAAGTTACCGTCGATCTGCGCGCGTCGCGGTCGAGAAAGTAAACCAGAGCGTATACCTATATATATCGTTGGAACGACATCTCGACGACACACAATCTGTTGACCGGTTCAAACAGGCCAGCGGCAGGCACGTCGAACTTTAATCTACTTGTGCCGTCAACGAATAGTTTTCACCGAGATTCGATCTTCCATCGAGTGTTATTTAAAAATTTTATTTTAAATTTTTTCTTGTTTTTTTCCATAATTAAATCGGCTCTAACGCGTCTTCCGCACTTATGAGAAAGTTTTATTCCTTCCAGAAAAAATAAAAATATTTGATCCGTTTAGTTACTTCTGTATAGAGATTTTTGGAAAAGCGACAGACGCGAATAACGATAATCAAATAAATGCTAAATTTAACTTAATTAATGTAACATGTTTATCAATTAACATTAACGTGGCTTTACGTGTAATACTGGATGGAAGCGAGTGCGCAGAAGCAAATAGAATACGATGTAATATTGATCGTTGGTTAATGGTGTAAACATTATTTACAATGACTATTACTACAACTACGAAAGAGTGACATATTGCGAGATTACTAATAATTAATCGTTCAATTAATGATACGGAATTATAATAACGTTACACTTAAAAAGGAAGTACCTGTATATGTTGCCATCTGCAAACCGCCGATAATTTGTTATATACGAAACGTTTTATGATATTATTTATTATTATTATAAAAATTCTTATTGCACGAGAAATAATTTACATGACAATGAATCAAATTGATAATTAATATTTTGATAAGAATATACGTGTATTCGTATTTGTTTAATCAGCCACTATTAATACAGTTAGTTTAATTAATTAGACCTAAAGTAGTTGACTCTGTTCTAATTATGACGCAACAATTAATTCTCGGGCGAATATTTTTCATTTCTATATATGCACCATAAATTCTCGCAATGTATATGCACACCGCATGCACCGTCCGTCATTTTTATTACGAACTACTTTTAATGTCTCCTCCTTCACTTACATGCGTATTCGCCTGGTACAGGAGGATCTGACCTTTTTGCGACTCCAGCGAACAAAACTCCTCGCTGTCGCGGGACTTTTTTTACCCCGCGTTAACATTATTAGTGCGTTTCGAGTTCGCGGGTACAACGGCCGAGTGAATACACAGTTGCCTCAACCATTTGAAATTAAATGGCCTAGAGCCATTCAACATCGGCTTTTAAAATGTTCGCTCAAAAGTTCAGTTCGGTGAAAAAAAAAGCTTATTTAATTCAAACACACACACACACACACACACACAATTTTTTCCATTATTGTATGCAACTATCATGTGCAATTAATAGTCATTAAAAATCGTATTTTTTATTTTCTTTTAAGTTTTAATCAATGGATTAGCGATTTTTTGCCTCTTTTGTCTCTTTTGTATAAAACAAGTTTCTGAACAGAATTGTTTATATAATTAATTTATTGATAATCAACATGTTAGATTTTTGGTAATCACATGACTTCGACTTTGACACTAGCGTCAAAAAAAGAAGCTGAATTTTCTCAGCTTCAGCGTCAAAGGCTATTGTTATTTTGTTCTGAACATTTTGGCTACAAATGATACGATTGACGTTAAACTTGATATTGCCGCTTTTCATGCAAGCCAACTATGATCACGTAATTTTGACGTCAAAAATGAGCGTCAAGCGTCAGCATGAAAAGGCACCTTTAGACATTGATTTTAAGTTAATTCAGTCAGATGGAATTTGTCTAACTAAAATATTGTTATTAAAGCGATGTTCTACAGTCTAGATGCGCGTTAAAATTAACATAAAATGAGCAGGATTACTGCATTCGCGATCTAAGGGTTCAGA